CGGTAGCAGCTGCCGTCGCCGGCTCGTTTTCACAGCACGTTCACGTGGCTCGTTCTGTTACTCAGCCGGCCGTCGTGTGTCGTATACCGCGATCGCCGTAACTTCCGCGCTCCAGATCGTTTCATTCACAATGCGCGTCGGCGGATCACCGCGCGGTCCCGGTAGAAATTGAGAGACTCGTCGTAGAAACGGACCCCGAGGGAGATTCTCCCGATTAAAATCCCTTTCACGCGCTCCCTCGCGATTATCTTGCCTATTTTAAGGAAGAAGTTAGCGCTGAAGTATCTAGAAATTTGAAATCTACAAATCTGAAAGTAATTTTTTAGCCATTGAAATAATTATGTAAGCTGTTCGAATTGGTTGCCGGATTGTAAACAAATTTTTGCATTTATTATTATGCACATAATATTATTTTTGATGGCTCGAGAAAATTATTTTGAGACTTGGCGAAATTTTTAAATATTTCAGCAAAACCGCATTCCTTCTGGACCAGAAATAATGGTTCGTATTTGTTTAAAGTTGAACTTGTTGGAGGCAAACTTCGGAATTTCCATGATGGTTTAGATATGCATTTTAAGATTCGATATATATTTCCTAATTTGTTGAAGAGAGAGATTATGCCGAAAATTTATACTTTGATATTAATAATAGTTATTTCGTAACTTTATTAGCCTGATATCAAGCGTGTAAGTAGTCGAAGTTTTGAAAGATTTGCGAATCGAAGAGCAAATTCTTTATTAAGAAAATGTCGATAACTTGATAAGCAAACTTAAATTTATTTTAAAACTTTATTCGTAAAAGCTAATTTAAGACAGCCCCAACTAAAAGATAATTAAAAGTAAACTCTAGGTGATTATCGAGGGTAACTTTCATTTAACAAGTTGCAAAAACTCAATTCTGACACTTGTATCATTCATGGTGCTAACGGAAGTGGGAATTAATTTAATCTCGCTGACCTCACGTAATATCGTAAACGAACAGACACCCGCGAAATCGAATCGACAAAACTAGATATGATAATTCGAGTCGATCTCTCTGCAATAATATTACACAATAATACGGCATTGAGGAACCAGATTCGGTCTGACCTAATAATATATTTCCAGTCAAGTTGATGATCTACACTCGCACTCATAATTTAACAGTTGTTTTTATCAGTTATTACGACTGAACGATTTCAATTTGTGATTAAAATTGCGAATTGAATTATCGATTTGCAAATGATCGTTGTAGTATCGAAAATCTTGCAAAGAAAATTTATATTTATATTTTTTAGTGAAATTTATATTTATATTTATATTTTTTTAGTGAGACATATGGAAAAAAATTCTGCAGACTTTTAATTTATTGTTGTATTCTTCTTTAATTGACATGGTAACATTAATAAAGAAGATACTTGATGATATGGAAAACCTGATGCTATTAAATTTGGTATTTTTGTTCACCTAAAATAGATATTTGCTGTCACGAAGAAAGACACGCGATATATTATTTCATCTAATCAACGGTTGTGATATCGTTTACGGAAATTATACAATTTTACATAAAACTAGCGTGACGTAAATTGAATGACTCATAAATAGAATTTAGTG